AAAAAAAAAAAAAAAAAAAACGTAGAGCACTGGAGCTGTAAAGCACACATTTTCCTGAAATAAGGTACTAACTATATATGACTTGGAACTACTAAAGAGGTGGCAACTCATTTGGAAAATAGAAAATGAAAGAAATAAAACCTTCTTGAACTACTTTCGATTGACATATCGACCTCTTTGCGTGAAATGACTAACCTTTTATTTTCGACTATATAATTAGTAGTCTTTCTTCTCTTTCAATAAATATTGATTTTCGATTAATTTGTTTGAGTATTTGTACGATAGCTGAATTCATTTTAAAAACCAAAATTAAATTTGTTTTGAAATGAGATACATGTATTCTTACCTATGGGTGAAAAAATTCCAAGCCCATTTTTTTAATTGCTCAGGACAGATGAAAACTTGATGTAGTTTCGTATTACCTGCCATTCTGCATTTGAAACAAAAAAAATGGACTTAGGACCTTTTCACCTCTAGGTAGCGATATGATGTTAGAGCGGGTATTTTTTTTTTTTACTATGCGCGTTAGCATAGGAGGATTCTACATGTAATTCGAAGAACATTGTCCACAGAAACAATGGGTCTAAAATCAATTTTGAGTTTGCCAAATTGCAAAAATTGGTTTCGAAGAAAATGTGAAAATCGGTACTGTTACGCCCTGTGGTGGGAATTTATGGAAAAACTCCTTATAGAATTTTTTTTTTATTATTAATTGAAGCACTTCTGTCGTCAACACTACACAAAAATGCTAAGAAACCTATTTTCACAATTTGACAAATTCCAAATTGATTTTTGACCCATGGTTTCTTCGGAAATGTGCTAAGAATTACACTTAGAAAGCATCTGTGCTATCAGCGCATAGCCGAAAAAAGTACCTATAAAAATTGACCCGACCTAATGTATGTAATTATTAATATTCAGACGATGCTGAGCGGTTAGTCGAAAGTGAACTGAAAATGTTCAACCATCTCCTTCAAAGATCTAAGACATTCAGTAAAGAAGTTTGCGGTGCCTATATCAGATTGTTAAGCTTTCAACGCAGCCTGACTGCCAGAGTAAATGAAGACTTGAACACGAATAAAGGCGAAAAAGCACGCATTGACGAAAAAAGACGCATAAACATAGACTTATACCTAGTCAACGACCTCTTTGGGTAATGTACATACAATTACATCCGCAAACAGAGTTCACCGCGAAAGTAAGTTAACGCGTCTTTCTGCGCCGTCGATTAGGTTTAGACGCCTTTCTTCGTTGAAGTATTTTTTATGCCTCGTTTTTCGCGGTCAGCTTTTGAGCTCGCGCCTTATTCTTGTCTAGTGACGATATATTTTATTTCAACGGAAAATCACACTTATTAAATTGTTTCCAATTAATTTGGGGTTAATTAAGGCTGAGACTAACCTTATTCGAATATACAGGATAGAACTCTAGGCCCCAGTTTTAATACTTATGTCTGTATTGTTTAATATTGAGATTTGTTTATTCATTAAACTGAAATTGAATTTTTAAGCAGATGGCAACGTTCTTCAAAAATGTTTTCAAAATAAAGCATTAGTAAATGTTTTTAGTTTTACGCCCCTAGGTAATGTTTCATTAATCTTATTAAATTGAACTTGAACTTTTCCAAAGGTGGCAACTCTTATTGCAAACATTTTAGAAATAAAGCTTTTGTAAAGCTCTCTGGTTTGGCACCCACATTAAAGTTTTCTACTTAAATTATTAACTGAAGCTGAAATACGTGGCAAATTTTTTCAAAAGTTATCATTTATGTTAATCAACGCTATAAGCTGCATTGATTTTTATGCAGAAATATGTATACCTAGAGCAGAAAAAAAAATTTTGAAAAAATGTCGCTTACGTCGTTTTGGCGGTTAGAGCTCGAGTCATTAGCAGACTAGTTATACAAAGCGCTAAAATATCGACTTGCATTCCAGTATGTAGTGTATAGAGAGGATTCAATACCTATAACATGAACTTGTAAAGAATTTGTTTGCTTACAGCCGAAAACCAGAAATAACTTTGCTTTCTTGCTGACATCAGACTAGCGCTTTCGTTTAATAGACAAAAGTGGCGTGGCGTATACGCAACATGTCAGTAATGGTACTCATATAATACAAATTCGTACGTAAAATTGTCGAGAAAATACCAGAAAAAAAAATATTCTGTCTAAGCATTCCCCAAAAATGTCCATTAGAAATGCAAGCAAAAATAAGAAAAGTGCTAAATAAATCAAAGAAAAAAATATCAAGCCATAAGCGATGCTTCCTTCTTCCTTCCATCTATCCACATCAATATCCACATAACTAGATTGTGTGATTTTACATTTTGTTGACACTTCACAATGCAATGAAGCTTATGACTGTTGACTTGTTTTGCATCGCTCTTTGATATTTCTCGCTAAAAGTAAAAGTAGTAAAAAGTTCACTTGCATTGCTCACATGACTTCGGTGAAGGCGGTGGGCAGACCTACCATCATTGCCAAGCTGTGCGCATTTTGCGTTTTTTTGTATAAATCCCTTTATTTTTCCCTCACTTGCTATTTGCACTGCCAAGCCAATAGAGGTGTTAGAAAAAATTGTTTTGTTCTGGGGGGAAAAAAATTACGATTGCAATGCTTGCAGCGCATTGTTTTTACTCACAAGTTTTATGAATTTTTTTTTTTACGCCTGTCTTTTTTGTTTTCCATTGTTGTCCTTTACAGCTGCAAAAGTGGCTCTTCATTGCTGGTCATATCATATGTTTGCTTGTCGCATAGCTTACTTTGATCGCAACTAAACTCACTTGGCACGCTTGACACCATTTTTTATTCACTTTTGCAGATATTGTTTGCTGTTGTTGGTGTTGTTGTGCCTTTTAACAGACCAAGTGTGTGTTTCATGCCATTCATTAGACACTTGACGGAAGTGCAAGTGGCAGCCAACCGAAGTGTCGGTGAAGCGTATAAGAAGAAAGACAGCCAACCAGTCAGTCAAGACAGTCAGTTAGACAGTTAGTTGGGCCGGTCAGTCGGCGAGTCAGTCAGTCAGGCAGACGAGATCTGTTGTTACAAGCAAACTCTACAAGAGTGCTCAAACCAGCTAGTGTATGAAGGCGAGGAGTAGGGGCATGAGCTGTCAGGTAGGCGGTATGACACAAGCTGAGCTGAGTGGTAAACAACGAACGGAAATAGAAACAAACGGAAAATGGTCAACACTTTTAATTGTGAGGAAATGCAAATGTTTTTGTTTATTTTTAAGCCTTCCTTTTGGCTTAGTGGCATGCTTGGGGGAATGGTTGACGTTAGCTGTCGATAAAGATTGGGGAAAAAATAACTGTATTTTGCAAGTGTGTAGCAAAAGTCTTAAGCACTTTGGTAGTTGGTAAACAGTGCAAAATTAAGTGGCCGATTAACTTTGTTAGCTTTGGTAAGAAGTGGATGAGTTGCCTCTGGCACCGATGCCGCAATATACATATATTCGATTTATTGCACAAAAAAAAAAAAACAACTGCAAAAAAACTGTAATTGCTTTTTAATGTAAAATTTCAACAGACTATGCCCGGTTGCACCAATCAATTATAATTTTATAATTTTTTTCGGAAAATTTGTCTTTTTAAATTTTAGCAGTCTGATAAATTTTAAAATTGGTTGGTGTAAGTGGGGATTAGTTTTTTAGATCACAATGATATTTTTCAGCATTTCAATTATAAAAGATTTCAGCAAAACAAAGTCAACTTGTATAAGATCTTATTATGGTTGTCGACGTCGATGTAATTTTTTGGTCAAAAAATAGTGCAAGTGCAAATTAGCTACGCTTACCACAGTATTTTTGCGGAAAGGTGTTCCTCGGAAAACTAGTGTAGTCAGCGAAACCGGAGTTGTACTGATGAGGGATATTTTTTTTTACGAATATCAAAAACAGAAACGATTTACTATGAAAATCACTGATTTTTAAAATATTTTGCTAATCCGGCCGCATAAAGTTACAGCCATACACGAATTTAAGAATGCTCGGCTGCTATACCCATACATATGTAGGCGTCATTGTGGGTGTGACTGCCACGATTGGCGGATAAGATGGATGCCGTACACCAATTTATCCTCCAATAATTTTTTTTTGGAATGGCTTTACGTGAAAAAGCCCACTTACAGCGCCTCTTTTTAAATGGTAACATGTGTACCTTGGTCAATGTATAAAAAATTTGCTCGAGATTGGCAGAACCTGTGCATTCACTTTTGTGTAAAGAAAATGTGTAGAGATGGGAACCGTAGCCTTAAGCTTAATCTAATTTGTCATCTGAGGAGACTTTTTTCAAAAAGTTCTTTAAGAAACTATTTTTATTCCTAAAAAACTCCATTTTTGGAGGTATTTTTAAATCGGTCCGGCTCTATTAAATATTAATATTTTTCCGAAATATTTTAGTAGACGTCTTAAAGTATAATAGATTTTGTAATCTCGACAGAAAAACCACAATTTTTTTTTGGTGATGCAGTCTAATGCACATACACACATAATGCTAAAAAATAAACTTTTCGTTCATTTTACTTTTGAATATTTCCTGCACAATTACCGCTTAATTTTCCACACCTACAATTTTAACGAGCATCTCATTTAATTTCATACACTTTTTTTCCCAGAATCTTTTTCATCTATCTGTATAGTAAGTAGTCAATTCATCACCGTTCTTTTTGTTTACTTACAGTCGTCGGTGGCCGCGCGTCTTGACCTCTTGTGGAAATTCTTGAAACCTGTCTCATTCTCGCTCATCGGCAAAGAAATTAATTTCGCTGTGTTGGATGGCCGAGTCGTCGGCTATGGTGCACTGCTGGTGCTGCTCGGAAGTTTGGTAATTAAACTCGACTGTTTTGCAACAACTTTTGCCATTTTGCAAATTTATTTTGCGGTGCGGTTTATTTGTACAAGGCGGCGGCGGGCGTAGACTGTTGTTTGGCTACATATGGGTTTGCCCCATTGCAGCTATAAATTAAGATGTTTTTGTATGTACTATGTACTATACATACATACAGATGTACGTACTGGTGTACTACATATGTACGAGTTGGTATGGTTGCTAGCTATTGCTGCCACAGAAGCCAACAAGCGCCACGAAATGCCTTCAACAGTTGACAAGCAACTTAGTAAGCTTTTTGCTACCAAAACGACCTTAGAGAGCGCAGCGTTTAGATTTTCGTACTTATATAATTCAAAACTGTTTCTGCCTTGGATGGCAGCGAGTTGTATGCACTAATTGTTTGTTATTTCTTTACTATGATATATAGGTTTGCCAAAAAAAGTGTTAAGTCTATTTTGCTTACCGACTTATTTATTTATTTTTGCTACTTATTTCATATATCCAATTCTAAATAGCCAACTTCTATTTCTAAATTCTTTGTTGTGAAAGATAGATTCGAAGTTTTAAATTCTGTAATAAAAATTTTTGAGTTTTTTTATCTATTCTATATCTAGTATAGAATTCATATTCTATATCGTCGTGGAGAATTAAATAAACGACCATTTTTTCTTGAGAGCTCCATACGGATTAAAGAATTTTTTTGGAAGAAAATATCATTTCCATTTCGTATGCGTCTTTTTGATTGAATTTTTCGTTTTTCTTGAGAGCTCCAAACAGCCATTAAGCCGACGATTTGCTAACGGCCTTTCTAAAAATATGGCTCAAGAACGCCTTACTTAAATTTTATTTTTTTTTTTAAAATACGGCCTATCTCAGAACTTATTTTAAAAACGCTCTACCTCAACTGAAAATATATTGAAAATATTTTGGCAAACGGCGTTTTTAGAGTGGTAGCTGATATAGGGCGATCTTCAACCAAATTAAATATGCAATATTTTTATATTCTACCTTTTACATTCTATATTCTAAATTCTGTATTATATGTTCTATATTCTATATTTTATGTTCTATAATCTGTATTCTATATATTATATATTCTATATTCTACATTATATATTTTATATTCCATACTTAATATTTCATAATCTATATTCTATATTTAGTACTAAGTGTTCCCTATTCTATATTTTGTGTTCCATATTCTTTATTTTATATTCTATATTTTGTATTCTATAATCAGTATTATGCTTACTATATTTAATAGCGGATATTCCATATTATCAATTCTATATTCTATATTTTAGATTTTTTTTATGCTATATTCTATAATCTGAATCTTGCTTTCTACACTCTTTACTTTATGTATATTACGTATTTTAAATTCTATATCGTTTTGTATTCTGTACTTCGGATTCTTTATTCTATATTCTACATTTTATTCAATTTTCCATATTCTGCGTGCGTATATTCTACATTTTTCTCTATATTATATTCTATATTCTATATTCTATATTCTATATTCTATATTCTATACCCTATATTCTATATTCTATTTCCTCTATTCCTTATCATATATTCTATATTTCATATTCTATGTTCTTTATTCAATATTTCATTTTCCATATTTAATATTGCGTATTCTTTATTTCATATTTTATACTCTACATTCAATATCTCTAACTCTATCCTATTTTCTGTATTCTATATTCCTTGTTCTATATTCAATACGTCCATATTTTATATTCCATATCATATATCCTGTTTCCTAGATTTTATATTCCAATTCTACATTCTACAGAATATGGAGTATATTCTATGTTCTATGTTCTATCCTCTACTTTCCATATTCCTTATGTTATATTCCAATTCTGTATTTTATAATTCATATTCCATATTTTAAATTCTATATTTAGTATTAAAATTCTTCATTCTATATTGCACATTCTACACTCTATGTTTTATATTCCAAATTCTCTATGTATTCTTTATTCCATATTATGTATTCCATATTCGTTATTTTACATTCTATATCCTATATTCTTCTGCATTGTACGTCCTGTTTTCTTCCTTTGTTTATTCCATGATTTTCCATTATCGTAATTGCGTCCAAATTTTAATTGTCTACTAATTATTTTTTGCTTTTTGTTTTCGGCTTTTTCTTCATTTCCAGTTCCGCTTGGCGTTCGCGTACTTGTCCACCTATGGCGGCAATCTGACGCAGAAAGAGCGCCTCTACATTACAATTTCCGGTTTTCCCAAAGCAACTGTCCAAGTAAGTTTCCGTTGGCAGCGCAGCGTCGCCTCGGGTCTCCATTTCAAATGTCGCCTTTTGGGCCAATTCCCTTGGCTGTGCTTGCCGTCATTATTCAATGTTCGCTTTGCATTCATTCATACTCGTACATATGTACATACCTACTTACATACATATTTATTTAGGTATTCACATACGGTTATACGTGTATATTACTAGTGTTAGATATAGCACGTATGCATATATGTACATACACATCTGCTCATGGCTGTTTTTTTTTTGTTGGCAACATGTAGCACATTTATGTCACCGGCCGTTAACAACACGCTTTGAGACCGCTTTTAACCGCAGCAGTGTTGCAAAACACGCCACAATTCTGAGAGCAACAATATACATACATACATATGTATATATGTACCTCTGTCTCCCTTTACCGCCTCGCTCATTGCCTTCATTGACCTCGAGTGTCTCCAGTGGCCTACCCACTTGCTATTTACAACTAAAAGCTTGTTTCACTTACTGCTCATCATTGTTTGTTTGTGTGTGCGCGCGCGTGTGTTTTCGAAGTTTTTGTGGTTTTTTGTGTTTGTGGCAGATAAATTTAAATGCTACGCTTGCAAAGTTATTTTCTAACACGACCACGCTGAATAGTCTCCTGCATCCCTGCCTCAACTGGTTCGGCGTTGCGCTGCCACTATTTCCGGTTCTTTTAGTTACATTTCGAATTCAGAAATAAGCTTCCGTTTTAGTTGGTTCTTTTTCACTGTCAGGTTTTTCCATTTACTTGCTTTCTTATTTTTTTAATGTTTTTCTTTTTATTTTTTGGTGTTCCCTTCGTTTTTTTCTTTTTGCATGTTGCATTGTGGCATGTGGCGCATATGTTGCATGCTCTTGTGGTCAACTTATATTTTGTTAGGCTAAATATGCGGTTTGCTGCGATTCACATATTTCTCGCCTGTTTGGCTTTGCTTTGCTATGCTTCGCCTGGCCCATTTGTATTGGCCAGTTGGCTTTAACTTGTTGGCTGGTTTGTTGGCAACAGTTTGGTGGCGTGTTTGTTTGGTGAGTTGCGCCGCGGTTGGCCACATCGGTTGGTTACTGCTAGCTGTTTCTTGTGCTGAGCATTGCCTTTGCTCGCTAAGGGATTTGTTTAAGTGCCAGAAAAATATTCACAAAAATGTTGGCTTATTGAATTGCAAAGCTTTTTTGTATACATACATGCATACATACATACATACATACATCTGTACATTTAACAATACATATGTGTGTATGTATACATATATAGAAAGTTGAAATCAGGGAATGCCAGGTAGAATTGTCAATGACCGAGAACCCGAAGAGTGTAGAATCTATGTATCTGGTGTATATGTGTCCATTGAATGGTTTGTCAGGGGGATGCGACGCTATTTTAACAAACACACACAAAACAGTAAACCTCTGGAAGTAAGGGTGGACTTACAAAAGCACTAAACGTTTTCATTCGATCGCCGAAAGTTTCCGAATATACAGGTATATATTTTGTATAAACCTCCCATGGGAAAGGCGCTACAATTAGTCAAAATGTTGCCGTTGAATTTTGCCCCTAAAAAAACGACCGCTAGATTTATCGTGCTGGCCGTCAAACCCTCTGAGGGAATGGGATTATTCGACCGCCGCGATTACGAAATCGACCGGTAGCCAATTTAAATCTGGCCTCCGGTGTTCAGGGAATAAAAAAGAAGTTCACACCGCGCCAGCACAAAAAGAGCCGGGAAAGTATGTCTGCTTGATGATTTGAAGAATGTGGTGGTGTGTGGAGCTGGCTTCTGCTGATAAATAATGCTGTCGGCAAAGCTTAGAGTCAAGAAAACTCAGACTCGTATACCCTAAGCCCTCCAAGATATTCAAGGTTTTCAGTGTTACCGCCACAGCGTATTTAGTTCAAACGGTCGTGGAGAAAAGTTCACTGAAAGGAGCTTGAGAGGGGGAGAAACGAAGGTCCGTCTGGTGGGTATCACCTTTGGGTATATGTCCTCTCTCCATGTCCAGTCATTCGCGAAGCGAGCATATACTTGGATAGAATCAAACAGGTTTCCTGTGCCGAAAATAGGTCGGCTAGCTTGTTTAAGGGACTAATCTACGCTCTGGGGGAACTGTGGCCCGGAACTGACTTAGTGAAAGTATTTAAGCATGAGATTTCTTGTCAGCGGCAAGCCAGGTCTTGGGCCGCAAAAAAGCTTCAAAGCTTTAAATGTGATAGAAGTATCTGAAGAAGCCATTGAAATTTCCAGCGAAACACTACCAACCCTTGACTAAAAGCCTTGAGCACTGTTTCAAGAGCCTAGTAAGAGCTCTGTTTTGTTTTCGTGAAAACTTGGAAATATAAAACCCTATTTTTTTATTTAAGGGAGTAATACTAGCTAGTGGGGTATTTAATGCAACCACAGCGAGACTGATGGTAGTGAAATCTTGAGCTTTTGTTGGCAAAGGTTTTATGAATCCGCCTTTTGAGTCCGGGATTAAGAATTATTATTATGATTAAGAAAATTTTTAATAAAAAATTACTTTAATAAACTATGCTGCACCGCATTTACGGAACTGCTATCCATATTTACATTAGACCGTACTAAAAAAACAAAATAAATAAAAAGTGGTTCGCAGTACACCCCTGAGTGTAATTATTTTTACAAGATAATTTCCAAATAAGTACTTACTCACCATATCTCAGTTCTGATTACTCTAACGTAGTACCCTAATGTCAGTAAATTAAAGCTGCCCAATATCATTAAACTTTTGCTTATCCCAGTAGAACTATTTTAAACAAATTTTTTTGATTGGCGAATGTATGTGCTACCGAAAAACTTAAAAGGTGGCCCACAACATTTGGCAAAAAATAATTGTTTTTCGAAATTGTCTTGTAGAAGTACTTTAAACTCAGGGGTGTACGGCCAACTTTTTTTTTTGTTTGCTTGTAAGGTGTTTCGGTGTAATGTTCACAGAAATTGTTTCATATTAACAATTGCGAATAGGAAAAAATAAACCAGGAAATTTTGATGAAATATTCTGTTTAATGCGTCTTCAAAAAAATTTAAATTAATGAACTTTTCTTTTGAGCATACCCAGCATTACAACACACAAATGCAATACCTTTATCTTTTACCTTTTGCATAGTTCTAAACCACTATTGTGCTGCTTCTATTTTTAATTTCTGGCGCCAACTTTTTAAATTTGACAGATATGAATTGTCAAAGGGTTCATGGAAGCAGCAGAAAATTGTATATATATATATATATATACACACGTATATGTACATATGCATACAGGCGCATACATACCCTGCAGGGAAAGCTACCAGTTGCGAGCCAGAATGCTAACCGTTTGCTTTTAAGCCCAACTAGTTTACGTTGTATCCTTTTTCAATGTTAGCGACTGGTAAATATTTTTAACATGACGGTTTCATAGGAGATGTCAATTTTCGGTTCCTGCATTAGTAGAAATGCTAGTAGCATCATACCAGTTGACTGCCAATTCATCCCCCGATCTACCACATTATTAGAGTGTTCGGAGTTCGGATCTCAGTGAGGGAACATTTTTTATTTTATTTTTTTTTATTTATTAATTTTTTGTTGATCAATTTTATTGTAATATTTAAATGGTATTGTTTTAAAAAGAAAACAAAATATATGTTTACCCCTCTATTCTAAGAAAGTCACGAAACTTAGCTCATCATTGTTGTGATTTCTAGTGCGCCGCAAAATGTGCCACAAAAATTCGATTTTTAGGTTTACGACTTTGTTAGAATACAGCTGTTACTATAATTTTTTTATGATAATTGCCTTTTTAGTTTTTTTCCAAATGAAATTAAATTTACAATTTTTATTTTATTTTTAAATTGAAATAATTTACTTGCTTTATTGTAATCACCTCTAAGCGAATTCGAACCTGAGATCCCAGAATCGGTAGGCTTCACTCGACGACACAGCCGAAATTTGTGAGGAAGGAAATTAATCGCATTTTAGTTTTGGTTTTGGCAACTCAAAGACAGATGTCGCTGATCGCATAGGTTTTTAGCGAATGTCGCTTGCCAATTGCCAAAAGTGTTGCCGCTGAGAGTATGGCCGCAAGTTGCTCGAAATCGACGAAATGGTGGGCCGTCGCTTTAGCACATACTAGTTAATGAACTAGTATTTTTACTGGCTAACTGGTATAATTATAGTCCATGACGAACTGGTATGACTTTCCCATTTAATACTAGTTTTCGAACTACAATTTCTACCAACTAGTTTATTTTGTTCTATGCGCAACTAGTATAATTATAGTTCATAACGAACTAGTATGACTTTTATCCTTAAGTAACATTAATGAATTGGAATTTGTACATACTGGTTCAGCTTTTCACTGCAGGGTATGTTTGTGTAAATTTATTTATAAAATAAGAAAGGGTGTCAAAGCAACAGTGAGTGCATAAACAACGTAAACAAACGTCGAACACTCAAAGCCATCAAAGCAACCGCTTTTAGTCTTTTTTTTTGGGCATAATCACTTTGGCAAAGACATTTTGCCATTGGGATAGCACAAGGGTGACTAGAAAAATATCCTGTATATGTATGACGAAAGCTTGTAGGTTTAATTTACATTATAATTCTGATCAAAATTTAATGCTGAGCAATTTTGAACAGAAAGAGAAACTCTATGTTTTCTTTAAACTGAACTGGCTCTTACATTGGCATTCTACAATCGATCCTTCAATTGTTTTTGTACAACAAAAATCATTTCGTTTTGCATTTCGTTTTCTTTTGTACGTTTCATGTGTATGTGTACATACCGAAGCCAGCGATATCCTTGTACTATTTTTATGCATTTTTATGCAAGAGCTAACATAGGTAGTTGTTGCTGTAGTGCACTATTACCACATTCTATATAGCGTATTTCTAATGCCGGTCCCATCGGATTTCCCATTTCGAATTTTTCAAATCTAACTTCACATTCGTGATCAGTGAGCCCAAAAATCATAGAGTAACAAGTTTCAAGCCAATCCGATTACTTTTCACAATATTCTTCGCCATCTTACTTCAGACTCATAATCACCGACCCAAAAAACACCCTGTAGCAAGTTTTAAGCCGATAAGAGTTCGAATATTGGTCACTTTTTATCGTTTACTGGCCCATAGTGCGCTCGTGAAAGTAAGAGATGAACTGATTTTTTTGCATTTGTGCAGTCTTCTGATCACACGACGATCTTAACCCTATCAATGGTACAGTTCATCATATCATTTTCTTTGCACCCGTATCTCATGCAGATCGGTGGCGTTTTATGGTGTATATCTTTGCGAAGCAACGACACATTGTGCGTCCGACTCATAACTGTCATGCCATACGCTGCAATATTCGCCGGATTCTGCGTACTTCTTACAGACACGCCCTCTCTATAACCTTTTCTGTACTGCGTTTAAATCGATTTTCTATTCCCAAAGGACATCCAGCTGTTGGCATCTTCTATGTAGAGGGTTCGGACGTTCCAGGTGCATATCCATGACTCGTAGACCTTGTTTCGTCTTCAAATATAGTCAGCGTTTGAGGGTGGCTGGTCCCCCGCCGAGCATATTCAAAAAAATGTATATAGCAAGCCGCTTGCTAAAAGATAGGTAGGTGTACCTGCTGATAAATAACCAATCCCTCTCTCAGCCGTGGGACAGGACTCAACACACAGATTGGTTTTTATATCTCGTACTTGGGCTGCCAAAGTTACACAGTGTGTGCGAAGTAGAATGTAAGCATCTGAATAATAGCCGGTCAACTAGAAGAAGGACCCCTTCAGGCAAACGGTGCCCATTTGTTCCATCGTGTCAGTTGATAAAAAAATGGCAGTGAGCAAAGTAATTCCTTTTTGTTATATACGTTAACCGGCCGAAAAAGGCTGACTGAAAAAAATAGCACGCCAGCGATATTAAAAAAAAACGACGTCTTAAAAATCACGCGCAGAACTTGAGTCTTGGTCTCTCAGATTACCACAATTCTCACTTATATGGTGACAATCATAATCCTCCAATAAGTACCAACCTCATGCCAAAGTGGCCGGTTGAGTTAATACATAAGAACCGGAACTAAGATCCGTGTGTTTACTTTAGGACCAGTGATGACATATGCCAAGTACCAGTACTTTTGCTTGCAGCAACTATACACCATTGACCTTCAAACTCTAATAATATCTTAATTAAATCGATAAAGCTATACACTATCAACCTTTAGTTTTATGACGAGGTATATATCCGTGTGTATTTGTATGTATGTATGTCCGTATTCACTTCCAGCTTCTTTCCTTAAAGTTCTTTAATTGTACAAAGGTTGACAATTGAGCCAGCAATCAAGCAAAGCTTCACCGCTGCCGTCAGACTTATGTTTACGAAAGACCAATTTTCGTTTATACACAAGCGAAGATTTATTTAGACTGCCATTAGAAGCCATTGCGCTCACTTTTAATAATAAAGGTCAAAGACGCACTTACGAAAATTCACGCCTACGTAAATATTATAAAAATGAGCTCAACCAAACATCAGGCTGACTAACAATAATTCGCCCAACGGCAATGCTGTGTTAAGTCAAATTCATCGAGGTCTCCTTTGTGAAGTTGTTGTGACTTGTTGGCCATGAGGCGAATATGTATTTACATACATACATCTGTTTATAAAGAAACGAAGCTAAAGCATATTTTACGCCTCCATTCGTACAATCGCTTTGAATTTTAATTTGCGCCTTACATTCATAGGAGTCATTACACATTTTTCTTTCAATTTACTTTGGCCATCAACCACCCACATACATACATAATTTTATAGTACCTAGGTACACTTTATATATATTAAATACGCATGTTTGCCGTTTTAGCTATGGCGATTCCTCATCCACCACATATCCATCACCCATCGGCTTGATTATCCTAATGTTTTATATTTATTTTAATGATATTTTCGCCCTTAGGCCGCCCTAGGTCCGCTTGCTTTGGACATGGCCAGATCATTAAGCGTAGTCGATGAGCAAAGCATCGTCTTGGCGAACAATGTGCTTATCATTTCGGTGTTGGCCATCATTTTCACCGCACCACTGGGTGCTGTACTCATGTTGAGATTAGCGCCACTGTGGCTACAACGCAGCGACGCGAATGCAGATAGCAAGGGCAATGTAATTAATTGCAACAACAACAGCTGCGGCGACAGCTTTAGTGATTTAAAAAATGTTTCGATGAAGAACGCACACAATCCGAGCTACATTGGCGATAATATTCAAAACACCAGCAGCCACAGCCTCAATACCATCGAAGCCGCTGATGATGGCTATGTCGACGGAGGCGATGTGCGCATTCATGTTGCGGACACCATCGTTACGGATATGCCGTTGCCACAAGCGAGGGAGGAGTCTAAAGAATCTCATCACTTGGTTTGAATCCAATTAGCAATGCGGCTGTGTTGCCATGACGACGCGCTTGATGGCCAAGCCGTCAAGGAGCTGAGTAAATACATATATTTTGTTTCTCTTCATGTTTGTATTGAAGAAAGTTATCTTAAGCGGTGATTTATTTGTGTGTATGCAAATGGCGAGTGTTTAGGAGTAACATGTGTATGTAGGGGTACTTTAAAAGTAGCTTAATTTAAGACATATACTTACTTAAGCCTATTGTACTTTGGTCTTACCTTTACTGGTTGATTACACTGGATCACAAATTATAATTTTTATTTTGTTCTCCAGATGCCACTATACAATTTGTATGTAAAACCGCCCGCTGATTCCGTAAATAGAGTTAATTTATTTTTGTATGGATATGTTTTCGAGATATTTGCAATTTACCGTTATTTAGCTTAAAAAAAGAGTAGTTCCACTTAATCAGGTATATCTGAATGAAAGAAAATAAAATTGTCTATAAAACGTATATACATCACTTTTCGATAGCCCTAATAGTTTCTTAGAAATTAATTAATAATTCCAGATTTTTTTTTTTTGATGGAAAAATGCAAAAAATTCAAACTTTAACAGGAGAAAAAGTCTAAAAATAACAGTTTCTGTGTGGAAATATTTTGCACTTATGTTAAAGCCTGTTACTTTAGAAAAAACTACGCTACCAATGAAGAAAATCGATAAATAAATAACGAAATAAAGCAGAAAAGAGTGTTACTCATACGCCACGTACACCCGAGTAGATATAGTGTTTGCATCGAAAACAAGAGGCGTCAGAAATGAATAATTAATTTCTCAGATCAGGGCTATCCAAAAGTGATATATACATGGTTTATGGAGAATTTTATTTACTTTCATTTCCCGTATCTCGTATTACAATTATTCAATTGGTTCGTAAGATATATGTGATTAAGTGAATCCACTATTTTTTTAAATCTGAATAACGGTAAATTGCAAATATCTCGAAAAGTTTTATATAGAAAAAATATTACCTCGATTTTTGAAATCACCGAGGAATTCTACATGAAAATTGGATAGTGGCATCAGGAGAATATTTTTGCTGTAAAACAGTGATATTTAATTAGGCACTTAATCCTATTCGAACATTTTGTGAGTAGTTATCAAAGCAACTAATGCTTTCGTTGATTACAATAAGATTTAAACAAATTTTTGCAGTAGTTTTATTTATTAAGTTTGCTTAAAGGTAAGTTAAATATTAGCTACTAGATACTTTCCTATGCTAGTTTTTCTTTCGTATCCTATCCCTTTTTTCTTCTTCTTGTTTGGCTCTGCTACTGACATCAACTGGAAAAGCCTAGTGAAGTCAAGTCCTTTTCCACCCCTAACTTTACACCACATTATTTTTGTTATTGTTTTTATTACTAGAAGTGAAAGTTTGTGTCGAAATTCTACCCTTTCTTTAGTTTTTTGAAACCCTTGGAAAAGAAAATCTCATGCTTTGGAAATAAAACGTGAATACAATTTTTTATGTGTTTGAAGGTCTTTGGGGGACTCTGGCAGGACTTGGAATTGACCTGATATATTCCAGTTTGTCGATAAGTTTCATCAAATAAATTAAAAATAAAAACCTTAAAATCCAATGTTTTTGGATTTGAAAGCGGTTGGGTATAACCGCTAAACGAACGGTGACAAAATTTATTTCAGCGTAGACATATATATAGATTGTTATGAGCCACATGGTCTCCGACCTCCTAGTATGCGTGGTTCTCTGCCCTAAATGGGTAGACTTTTAATGTAGCCTAGCTCCGCCCAAGTGAGCTAGCCTACGCCTAGCGAGAATGTGTTCTGACGTTTCTTCGTGCAGATTAAAAAGCGAAAGACATTTGTTTCTGAAAATTAGTTTTTTGTATCCTTTCTGCCTCAATTAAGTAGTTTCTTTGAAGCTTATTTTAAAGTAAGTACAACTAGCTCATTTGGCTTTTCTCTGTCCTAAATATTTCACCCAGTTCCTGTTGAATATTTCGTCTACCCAATTATTTATGACTCCACAAAAGTCGCACCATGAAGTACTCCAGTAGATTCTTGTTTCGCTAGGTAGTCGGCCTTCTCATTGCCATAATGTCATTTATGCCCCGGTACCCATGCTAAAAAACAGTATTCTTGAACCCAAAGTTCAAGGATATTGAAGCAATAACATACTGGCTGCCAGTTTATTTAGTTAGACTTCAGAGCCAGTAGGGCTGCCTGACTGCTCGACATAAATTTCATTGCACGAATTGCTTTAGATTTTCTTAAGTTCGGCATAACACTGACGGGCGGTGCCTTGACTCCGTCATCATCGACTGGGGGCTCGGTTTCGTCTTTTCTACTACCTTCTGTGCTGAAGGCATTCAATGGAACGGAAAAGTGTTCCTCAATGATTTAAGTATATTCTGTATATCGGTACCTAGGGTACCATGTTTCTTCTTACAGGAATTCGCCCTGGTCTTGAAACCTTCTGCTTAAATGTTTAAGCAAATTTTAGGGCGTTTTTCCTGTCGGCCAGCACCTCAAGCTCTTGGCACTCATGTACTTCCTCCTTTTTCTTCTTATTGCAGTCAAGTACGTTTCACTTCCCTCTTCAGTTACCTGGGACTGTCCCACATGGCTCGATTTCCAATCGCAGCGTGGCCCTATAGGCGGCGACTTTTTTTCTGCGGCTTCTTGATACTCCTTATCGTACCAGTTGTTCTTGCAGGCTCGCTTAAATACAACTACTTCTTCGGCGGCGATACTTAATGATCGGGAAATGTGGTTCTACTGCTCGCGTATGTCGGATTGTTGAAGAGTGCTCTCAGAGAGCAAATGTGTGTGTCAAGCCGCCTGTCGTGATTGAAGCTTTTCTACGCCAAGCTTTCTTCGTATTGTTGAGTGCACATTTTTTGCTGAACAGAGCCGGGTGCGTATCTTGGCTATAACAAGATAGTGGTCGAAGTCACTGTTTGGCCCTCGGAGTGTACATACGTTTAACTCGCTGCAAGTATACCTTCTTTATATCACAACATGATCCATTTCGTTTCTCGTTTTTCGAACCGGGGTCAGCCATGTAGCTTGGTGGATATTCTTTTGCTGGAACCTAGTACTACATATTACCATGTTTCGGGCCCCGGTGAAGTCGATCAGCCTTATTCCGTTATCGGACGTTTTGTCGTGGAGGCTGAATTTTCCGACAGTGGCGCCAAAGATACCTTCCCTGCCCACCTTGGCATTAAAATCGCCGAGCACGGTTTTAACATCATGTCGCAGGCAGCGCTCATATGTATGCTCTAAGCGCTCATAGAAGAGATCCTTAGACGCCTCGTGCTTCTCTTCCGTCGGGGCATGCGCGCAGATGAGCGACATGTTGAAGAATCTCGCTTTGATGCGGATTGTGGCTAGACGTTCGTCCACCGGGGTGAACGACAGTACTCGGCGACGGAGTCTCTCTCCTACCACGAGTCCAACACCGAATTTGCACTCCTTTACGTGGCAACTGTAGAAGACGTCGCAAGGCTTCACAATTACCTTGCCTTGCCCCGTCCATCGTGTTTCTTCGATGGCGGTGATGTCAGCCTTTGTCTTCCCGACTACAACAATCAGCCGGGCAGAGGCACCTTCCCTATTAAAGGTTCGGATATTCCAGGTGTATACCCTCAAATCATAGGCCCATTACACGATTGAAGTGGTCGTCATCAAAAATACTTGGTTTAGTTGTTTGTTGTAGTTGCGGCAGAATTACTTAGGATCACTCCCTAGGGTCCTCCAAGTACCTCACTTGGAATGCTAAGCGGTACAACAATAGGAATGTAGTAAGTAATTGTTGATTGAAAAAAAACCTACTAATTTACAAATTTTTGCTATGAAATTTGAATTGGGTTTAAAATTTTTATTTTGCATTTCATAAAGGTGCAAGTTAATTTTTCTGAACAATAAAAAGTATTCATCTGTTTTTAGCAATAATAAATCGCAATTATTCCTTGAACAAAATTTTGCCAAATGTTACATTTTCAAACAATAGAACAGATATCCAATAAAAAAAAAAATTTATAAATGGCAGCAAAAATTGAAAATAAAGAAAAAGTCCAGACAAAATTGCACTGGACAAAACAATGAAATCGTAAAAAGAGTCATAAGACACCTTCACCGAAAATAAACAGCCGTAAAAAGAAACATATTTTCAGGCGTCTAGCAGTGCAGCCATTCAAATTTTGATAAATATCATCGTAAGTTCATTGCCTTCATATTCGACGTTTGTGTCGATGCGGGCTTGTCTCTTTAATGGCATTTGTAGCACTCTTAGCGCGCTCTTAACTATGTACAAAGCTACTCATCTGCTTACATACAAATTTGAAGTAAGAAACATTTGCATACATAGTATGTTAGGGTGGTCCAAAAATGCATGTGAAAAAGTAAAATCGTAATTTTAATAACGCCATCCCTAGGATTGTTCTATACCGAAAAAAAAATATTCCTATTTTTTTGCATCGGAAAGGTAGTGTCTCAGAGGTGGTTCCATACTAATTTGCAGTTTTCAAGAATTTTGTTCCATTTCTACAAAAAGTTGTTTTTCCCCAATACCAAACGCATTGAAAACTTTGAGCGCTTTGAGCACTAATAAAAGATAGGGTTATATTTCTTTCGGTATAGAACATTCCTAGAGGTTTAAAGGGGGCATTAAAATTCCAAAGTTTACTATTTTTGGACCACTCTAATAGTATTTACTCATAAATTTATGTATGTATGTATATCTACGAATTTGCAAGAGTAAACCAAGTCGAGCCGCTGCTGCAATGCACCAGTATTTTGCGAGCTTATTACTGGCACAAGTGTTTTGTTTTTCACTGCAGATTATTTATGTTCACTGGCAGCATTGTGGGCCTTTTCCTCCTTATGCCAGTTGCACCTTCCCTAATTTGCACTTATGCCAGCCACTTTTGCTTAAGTGCGTCGAAGTATTGAAAAAGTTTTGAACTTTTCATATTGTTTTTTTTTTTGTTTTTTGTTTTTATCTCTTCCAATTACCAGCATTTTTATGACAGACAAAATTACGTAATACCTTTTTATTGGCAACACATTGTTCGATTTGTATTTACTTATTACAGTTCTTATTTGTGTTACCATTCTCTGTGCTTCTGCTTTATTCACTTAGTTTTTTTTTTCTTCTCACACTTCTCTCAGATGCTCCATTCACTCAAGCGAAGTATGTAGGTATATTACGAGTATAGCATGAGAAACAAAAGAAGTAGCAACATAAAAATTAAAATGTTAATAAAATGAAAACAATAAAAATTCGGAATGTGTGCATAACAAGAATAAGAAAAAGGTGTTTTGTTAAGGTAAGGGTGAGCTCTCAAGTACGGGTACATGCTGTACTTCGGCGTACAATAATTACTTTCCATATCCTTTGTGAAGTTTTATAGCTTTTGTTGTACCAGAAATCGATTGGGGATTAAGTGCATTGGGGAAGTATGCGTGTGTATACACAGAGGGGATTTATTATTCTCTTTA